AGACAGGTCAGGGGGAGGGTCATGGTTGGGCTGGAGGAGCTGCAGAGGCTTTTCCAACCCAGATGATTCTGGGATTCTGTGATATTCAAGGTGGTATACTCTGTTGAGTCCCACCTCCAGCCAGCCATCAGGGTCTATATCTGCCTTGCACGGCCTTTCCTCACGGGGTCTGTGTGTGGATATTGCAAAGGGTAGTTTCTCCTTTGGAGACACAGTGCACACACAACCACCTTTGGCTGGGGCTGCATCAGGACCCAGGTTCAATCACGCTGCTTTAACTTGGGCAAGATTCCCACAAAGGCATCGCTGGTGCTGTGGGAGAACAAAACTGCACAAACAAATACTTGGGGGACCAGCGTTTCCAACAGGGATCATTTACAGCTGCTTTCCACAGCAGGACACTGGTCAGATCATGTGTGGCTGTGAGTGGTGGTAGTAATCCTGGCATGCCCTGATTGCAGGCTCATTCAAGCTGCAAGGTGGGAAACACCAGGAGCTGTTTTGCTGCTTGATTTCTTTTCATTTTATATATTTTGTCTTCTTTGGAAGGGGAAAAAAAATACAGCCCTCTTGGAAGTTGCATTAATCCAGGTGGGCATGAAAGAAAAAGAGACGAGGACAGAAAATAATGCAAAACTCCAGGAGAAAAAAAAAAAACAACAGGAGATATTTTTGCAGTCCAGACATTTAATGTAAAATAGAGCTCTGATGCAATCAAATACAGAAAGAACTTGTAGTTCTGGTTAAAAATACCTATCTAGAATATAAATATACATTAGCATGTAGCTGCAAGGCTCATGGAGATATCTGCCACAGTCTTATATTTACAGATAGGGATTTAAATGTTTAATGCTGCACGTTCAAAAGAAAGTCACTTCATCTGAAGTAGTTATTAATTATAGAATGCACTTGGCAGGACTGAAGTGCAGCAGGAGTGATATCATTTTCAATATCACTCCCAAATTATTTCTCATCTAAAACATATCATGTGCACTTTTTTTTTTTTTTTTCCTCTTTTTTCTTCTTCTTAAAATAGATGTATTTTTCCATATTAGGCCTTGGATGACTTGGAAAGGCTGCCGCCGACATGCCAGCACATCCTCTCTTGGATATCTTCATTGCTCTCCTGTATGACTCTCACATCCCTAATTCCAGAGGAGCACAAATCTGAAGCCCAGGTCTGAGAACAAGAAACAGCCCCTAAAAATTAGGTGAAAGGAAGTTTCAGGGTTTCTGAAGCAGATACGTTGAGGGGGCAGGGAGGTGAGCACAACGTCATGGTTGGTATTTAATAATAATATAGCAAAAGTCATTTAGGGTCACCTGAACGCAAGAGTGTTGCTCAGAGTATTGAGAAAGGATGGGGCAGAGGGCCCGCGTGTGCATTAACTGCCTTCACCACAAGGCTTCATCGCCACTCCCGGGGGCTCCAACCTACGGTTTGCCTCAAGGATTTAAAAAACACGAGGTGTGTCAATGAATCGTTCTGTCCCCTGTCCGAGGCTGGTCTGGATGCCAATACCCTTTCCCCAGTTAGCCCCTATTAAACAGATGGGAATTGTCACACGTCAGCAGCACCGGGCATGGTCCTGCAACACAACTTTAGTGTTGACTGAGCTTTAAGTTTCTGAATACACTTAGAAATGTGGGTAATGATGTCGGGCCTTGGAGGTGAAGTAATTTTGCACTTGTGCCTTGTAGGCATATTCCTGAAATCTGTTCAGACCCCCAAGAGAAAGCCACAGCATGCGAGATCCATGGGTCAGAGTCCCAGAAGTCTAATCCAGTCATCTGAACAAAACCACTACAGGCTCCCTTCGGCCAGCAGGTCTCTGAATACAAAGGGGTGAACGTTTTTCATGTCTTCAGGCCACTCCTCCCCATCGCAAGGGCTATTTGATGTGCCCTCTGTCACATCAGCAATGGCACACCAGCGCTGAAGAACTGATTTGTTTAACACGG